CCTCCCACTGTCGCCAAAGTGCTGCTCATAGGGGGTCATATGATTGTTGGGTTTTTCTCTGTATCTATGAAGCGCCTTGAGGCGATTTTTGTTGTAATTTGGCGCTGTGTAAATAAAACTAAATTGAATCTTTGTGGGGAACAAAAATTGGAAGTTTACTATACTTAGATGTCCCCACAACGATATGAATACCCGACGTGTGTAAAGATGCACACAGAGAATTGTGAAGTTATTTGAATGAAAGGCAGAAACGTGACAATGTTTGTCTAGATTGTGTTTGTGCATTACGTCGTCCCGATCACTGAGCCAAACCCTGACTGCGTCCAGTGTTATTGTAGGTCTCTATCTTACCGTATAAAACTCCTCGAGGCGTCTGTTGTTGTAAAACTGATTGAATTAGACCTGCTGCTGAAGCTCTACGTGTTGCTGCTTTGATAGCACCATTACTGCGTACAGCACCACGGGAAAGCAAAGACCTTCACAGTTTTGGTGCAGCCTTCTGAACTGAAGCATCGTGAGAAGTAGTGAGGAGTGAAGTTAGTCAAGGCCAGAAAAAACGATAAAACGAGTTGGATGCCCTGAAGTGTTTCAGCTCTTTGAGTTTTAATGAGTCTTTCATCAAAAGCATCTTTGGTGTGAGGAAACACTGAACTCTATCCTTTCCCCTGTGAACCATGAAAGGCTTCTGTGGTGTTTTTACTTCACCAGTGAGCCGTTTCTTTCTTCTTGCTGGTATCTGGGCGTCCTGTGAAAGGCACGCCGCAGTGACCCTGCAAAAGCCTCTCATCTCCTCCACAGTGTGACTTATAAGCACAGGCTGGTCACATTTCCGAGGCTCGGCTGTGGGCGCAGCCGTCCTGTTTCATTCAGACTAATGAGGACGTGTCTCTGCAGGTGAGCTGGTCAACATGTTGTTGTGTCAGCAGCAATCAGCCGCCTCATTAGCCTGTCGCTGTGCGCTCACGTGTTCAAGTGGCTGTTTGTCAGCAGCACAGAAGGTCACGGCCCGCTGTCTCTGTTTGACCCAAATACCCGAACCCCAAATTTCCCAGGACAGACCTGAGAACATTTTGTATTCGGAGAGAAAAACAACGACAACAATCTCTGCGTAAATATCTCGTTGCACATCCTGGCTTGTCTCTGATTGGTCGGCTGATGCTCAGTCAGCTGTCACTCCAGTAAACAGATGATGATATGAGATGTGCAAATTATTGCATTCATTCTTTGTTTACATTTTACACAGCATCCAAACGTATCTGCAGTTTGTGTTGTATGTATGTTATATGCAATTACATTGGCCCAAATCTAAATTAGACAGAGTTTTGTCTCTCGGTGAGCCCTGAGTGTTTAACCTGCAGAGACGAAGTAGCAAGTATAGAAGAGAAGGTGGCGAGGGAAGTAAGAAAAATGAGAAAGGAAATGATGTTTCACATAAAGGATGATGGGATGGAAGGTTGTCTGTGTGTGCGGCTACTGCAGGTAGGAGAAAATCGAGACGGTGTGGAGTGAACTTCGGACAGGAAACACTTTGATCCTTTTCCTTTTCTTAGTAAGTGATACAGATTGTTGCCGTGAGCCTTTCTGGAGTGAGGCAAACAAACATAATTCCTCTTATTACAGAACTTTTCATCCGCATAATGCAGTGTTGCCACGAGTTTACAGGCAGGAAATAAATGAACGGATGTTTTTATCATCTAAGAGCCCAAATTCCAGGTTTATGGACCAGATTATCTCCCCTGCATCTTTTTGTCACTGTGATCCTGAAACAAGATATTTTTTATTAGTTTATAGTCTTCAAAAGAAGTATTGAGCTGGAGGCGTGGTTCTTCTAAATACCAGCACAAACTGGAGTCCTTTCACATGTGAGTGTAGTTAATTCAGTGCTTTTCCTCCACAAAATAAACGCATCACTGATTACATTTGGGGACGTGTGACAGACGGGCCCTGATCTCTTTCCTGCTGTTCCTGCCATCTTTGTTCCTGAGCAATCCCTCCTCACACGTTGCTTTCCGCGTCCTCACGTGTCGCTCTGCTTCCAGCTGGTACCGGTCCAATTTTTCTCCCCCGTTGTGTCCCAGAAAATTTGCTGTCTCTGTGAACTCTGAGAGGTTTACGGAGAGTTTATGCCAAAGAAAGGACACGAGTGTCCCAGTTCGGGTATGGCACTCACTTATTACAGATTTAAGGAAAGTGCAGAGAGGCCTCACTGAACAGTAACACAGTATTTCACTACACAGATCAGAAGTCATCACCGGGGTAAAGGAACTCAATCAAGCTGTTTGCGATCTTTCTTCATAATAACTCCAAAAACTAAATCCTGGAGATCCTCGGGGTTCTGCGATCTGTTCCCAGATGGCGTTGCATGTTTGATCCACCTTCTCATTGATCCAGGCGGATGATCTGATATCGTCGTGTTGGTGTTGTTCCCAGATCATCATGAAAATGTTGTTCCAGGTTCAACATTGCAAGTGACCAATCACATTATTGTGACGTTATTCTTTTGCGTACCAACCCATTCGTGCATTTATGAAATTCCAATGTTGCAAGGACAATATCAATTCTGCTTAGCGTTTATTAAAGGGTCAGGGTCAGGGTTAGGGTCAGGGTTAGGGTCCGTTGATCGGCGGACAAAGGCGGTTTCTCGCAGCTTAAGTACAGTTTTTTGTTTTACGCCGGTTTTTCCCGAAGTCGCAAAAGTATGACATCATCGTATTCTGATTGGTCACTTGCAATGTTGATCCTGGAACAACCTTTAGTATGATGATCTGGGAACAACACCAACATGAGGATATCAGATCGTGCGATCCAGGCTTGGAACTGGGACTGGGAGTAGCTTATGACCCCATGAGGTTGGGTTTGTGTCTCCTCCTGGTCTCAGAATTGTTGAATGTGTTAGCCATGCATAGGTCCACTGCACCTGTCCATGATGGGTCATGTTTATGCTACTAACAGAAAAGTTAAAGGAGAAGACAGAAGCTGAAGAACAAAGCAGCTAGAGGAGTGAAAAAGCCGAATTCTTCCAAGTTCATTCACTATTTGAGTAAGTTTACTGCTGGAGACACAACATTCATGGATGTTCTAACAACAGCACCTGTTCCCTGCAGGTTGGTTTGCTTCAGGTCCTCAAGTTGTCCGGCGACCTGCTGCAATTCCTGCAGGGCCTCCTGGTGGCGCTGGTGTACCAAGCAGAGGCCCTCAGAGAGGCCTCTCTGAATGCGGTCAGAGTTCGGGCGACCATGTTGGCGGAGCTGCGTGTGGTTCGTCAGGTCCGAGGAGTACCCCTCCAAATCCAGGGGCTGCTTCAAGAGCTGAGGGAAGTGTCCAAGATCACCCTTCAGTTCGTGTTCAACACCACACCCCTTTACAACATGGTGAGTAGACAGCATCTGCAACACACCTGTAACACACCTGAGACATGTCGGGATTTCCAACTCCACTCCCCATTTGTTTTCAGCTGCAGAAGCCATCTCCTCAGGAGGTGGAGGAATTCTTGAACCAAGAGGAGCTTGTATCTGACAACTCGTCTCGTCGCGGCTCCAGTAACAGCCTCTTCCTGAAGGCCATGGACGGCCGTCCTCGCGGCCGCCGGAGCCTGTATTCCCGCGCCGCACGAGGTTCCGGGGGTCCTGTGAGCCCCGACCCAACCAATGGCTGTCGTCGCTCGAGTCTGAAGGAGCCCCAAGCCCCAGAGGTGGAGGTCATGCCCCTCCCTTCCGAAGGCGCCGCCCCTCGACGGCCATCTGCCGCCGAGCTGCTCCTCACCCCGCTCAAACAGTTCGTCTCCCAGAGCCAGAAGGCCTTCGAGTACCTGACCCCCAACTCCTCCGAAAATGCTGCCAACGCTACAGAAACAACCGACTATTAAACACCACGCTGAGGTTTGACCCCACCCTTATCCCCCACCGACCGCGGCCTTTGACCCTGACCCCCGAGCGATTACAGCCGGCCACGTCAGTCCTGGATGATCAGACGAACCTGCCTCAGCTGCTGCTGGTTTGTGCGTTCGTGTTCAGCCGCAAAGCTGTCACCAAATTATTATTTGATCGCTGACGCCGTTCTCGCTGTGGACAGGCGGCAACATGCAAAACCTACAAGACAAAGATTTTCTTTAGTTTTAGTTCCTCATTAACCTAAAATTTGATCCACTGAGGCCAAATGTGTAGAATCATATTTATTATTGTTCATTGTAACGTCATGAAGTGTTTAAAGGCAGGTTGTAGTTCATGTTTTTCATACTGCCATATCTTTCAGGAGGTTTTTAAGACGGAAGAAATAAAAAAGGGCCCAAGACCGATTCATGTGGAACGCCTCCCAAAAAAACACCGTCACATGAATCTAGAGTATCAACCTGCATCAATGTAAATCCAGAGAAATCTCTGTCATTAGGTTTAATCGGGTTTAATGTCGAGCCACAAAGTCCCAAATAATCCCAGATCTGTTTCACAGAAAATGTTCTATATTTGGTCGTGTCCAAATTCATGGGCTGCATCCTCCTGAGGCCGCATTTGTAGACCGATTACGTCACAGCGACGCGCCGAAGGCTGTCCAAATTCGTAGACTCCTCCGAATGCAGCCGACAAATGCGTCCTCCTTTTCCCCGAATTTGAAGGATG